CAAATCAAATATAGCTAAAGATTAATCTTTTTTAAATTATAATTATATATTTGTTAACAATGTGATAAATATATATCAATTATAAGAGAATAAAGATAAATTTAAAACAGAAATACACAAAAGTATAACACAACTTGAACCTACAACATTTTATAGAAAAAATATTATTTATTCAGCTAAATAATTATTGAATTTATAAATAATAGACTAATTTTTTTTTTTTTTTAAGGGAGAGTTTTATAATAATTGATACAAATCAATTATCTTTGTTTCAGAGTTCCAATACAATGAATCTATGTTAAATTGGAAGAAATAAACTCTATTCCTGGCATTCTTCAAAAATAAGTAATGATTGTAATTATGAAATGAGTATTTTATAATAATAATAATAATTAATAATAAAAATATTTAAGCTTTTGTACAATACATTATAGATTTGATTAGACTTGACGGAGATTCAAAGTTTATTATCTCTGTTTTCCTTTAGTTATCCAAAAATTAAATTTTTATAAAAAACTTTCACGACGTCACAACTAAAATAAGTATACATTTGTAAATTAATTACATAAGCAAAATTCATTTCTTCCAAATATAATCCAACGGTAGTAACATTATTGAAAAATTTTACACATTAAGACCATCAATCAAAGTAGTGGTGGTATTTGTAAGCAATAAATTGTGTTGGACACGCCCAATCAGAATCTCGAACCACAGAAATTTGATGATCACTTGAAATAATTTGTGTAGGAGTGAAAAATTTCATAGGAGCTCAAGAATATCAGTCTGCCTACTTTTAACAAAATGTTTATTGAACAATGAAGTCACAGTACATGGTCCAATAGAAATATACAAATCCTATACATGAGAAGGTACAGCACAAATAATCCTTGTCTAATTTTTTTATCATCCTTCTCAAGTCATTGTTTTTGTCTAATATACATTCTATGATTTTGATTACTGGTCCTAAAAGGAATTGGAATTGGAATTTGGACTATGTATATGTTACACGTTACACAACATGTGCACTGTCTACAGCTATCTGCAAGTCCATGAGAAAAATACACTAAATCTGTGCAAGCTGCCATTTGCGCTTCACTGTGCTTTCCTGGTTGTTCAGATCTCCATTTGATGAATGATAACTATTATCTTTACCGTATAAGGCATTATCAGTTCTCAATATTTCCACTAACTGACAGAGAATTGAGTAATCAAGATTGCTTTTCATAGCTCATGAGTGCACCCAATGCCCCAAGAAACCCTTCATGCCGCAAAAACATTGCTTTTGCCTCACCTTTAGACCTGAAAAGGAAGAAGAAAATAAAAGTGATAAGTTGAATCCAAAGCCATGTGAAAAGATAGAGATTGGAGAAACAAATCAAAATGTAGAGAACGCAACCAAGTTTCTATGAGGGAAAACAACAAATGATCACAAAATAGTACGAAGGAGAATAGCAAATGATCACAAAGCTACAAACCTAAAAACAATATATATTGTCATTTTTCTCTCCCCAGAAAAACTATCCTGTTCTGTCTATAACATATCTAGCAAGTTTATTTAACAACCTACTAGCGGAAGTTAGTTTCATTTAGCGCTGTCTTCTAAAGTGTGAACTTGTGTCTTAAGATGTTACATTGCATAGAACAAAATGCATTCCTACTCAAGATTCTTCTTCATAATGGAACCCAGTTGATAAGAAAGGAAGCTGAAAAAATATACTTTAACTGGCTTTTGTAGTGAACACACCCAAATAATTACCAGAAATGAACTGCAACTGATATTGTGTCCATTGTATATTCTTGTCCACGGATGAAAAATCCACCAAAAAAAATCCGCTTGAGACCAAACCGGAGTGCATTCAAGTAAGAGATCTGGAGCAAGAAAAGGAAACAAGGATATCTAGAACATATGAGGATCATTGTTTAGATCATTGTTTAGTTTGTAATAACAGATGCTTGACATCTAGGATGGAAATACTTTTGCTGGAATGATGCATCTAAAGAAATGGAAGTAGAAATCCAGAAAAATAACAAATAAGCTAAAACACAATTTTTTTTTTTTTTTTAAAAAGCAAGGCATCTGTTTGTTTCTGTTTTTTACATGTAAAATAGGAATCACAAATATTTTATACTTCTATGCAAAAATGGTAGTGATTATGAAAGAAATAAAGGAAATATAAAACAATGATATGCCACCATGCATAATAGAAATTACAGCAACAGAAAGATCAGCTGTTCTGGTTCATCGTAAGATAATCAAGCTTGTTGGAAGACAGGATGGCACTTTATTTGGCCTCGTGGTTTATTGAACTTATTGATTCAGTAAACATGCAGGTACACATTATTACTGCATATTATGGTATTTAATGTATTCGGTGATAATCTGTTGAATAGCAACTGACCTGACCAATATTGTTAGATATCATTCTTAGAAGCGACCGAGATATATCTTCAGGCTTGTAATCTTCAAGCTCTTTATTATCAGAAATTGCTTTCCCAAAGCTGGAAGCAATGGTTGTTGCTGACAGACCAATCTATCATCATTAAAAAAATTTTAAATTCAGTTCGTAAGTCAAAACACAGACCAAGTCCTTATCATCCTAACCAGAAATTATGGTTTTTATCATACATGAATCTAGAATAGACCCAAATTATAGTAAGTTAAGACAATAGCATATCTTTACCTTGGAATAGTCCATACCACCATAGATATCCCCAACAAGTGTGTCTATAACCCTATTATTTCCCCGATGGCTTAGCTCCAGCAACTCATCAAAACTAAGACATAAATAGATCTCATAAATAACGGAGCCAGAAAATAGGGTTACTGCCTTAAAACCAAAACATTATGGAGGAAATCATACCTCTCTAAAACATACAAGAAGAAGAGAATATACCTTTTGCATCCTGTTAAAAGCCTTCCCAAACCCCAAAAAGTTCCTCCACCAACATTTGTTCCACTAACTCGTTCAAATTTGCCATCCCCATCCACCTATTTAAGCATAAGATTGCAATCAAGTCCTTTGATATTTTATCCTGAAAAACTTTACCAAGCATCATCCCTATACCTTGATCATGCTGACACCAGAACCAATGTTAACAAGGAGATACGGGAACAGATCATTATGGTCTATCTGCACGAAGTCCTTTCGTTCATCCATGTAAGTAAAAGCTTCCTGGTGGACGGCCTGCTCAGAAAAATTTCAAGGCAAATATTCGTAAGGGAAATAAACTATTTTGCAAAAATATATGTGAAGAAACTTAAATGCTAATGATATCTTGACAAACAGGCTCTGTGGATGAGTATGTTGAATTCCCAGAGTCTTTATGTCTGACAAACTCCTTAAATATTCACAAGAAATTCTTCCTAACAATAAATGTTTCCTCCAGTAAAACTCTAGCATTTTCGAATTTGCATCAATGCAAGGTCATATAGCCAAAGATTACTCTTTAAAAATGAATTCCAATCCACATTTCATCTGGACCACTAAGCTGCCAAAATGTTAAAACGGTTTGCCTTGTGAGCAGTAAAAGTTTCATTCATAGTCTATACATATCACAAAGCTCCATATTCATCCATGGAGATTTTTAACTTTCTCCATAAAAAGAGTATTAGTTCCCATTATCTCACTGCAAAAAGAAAAATGACACCTGCAACTTTCAAAATTGATCTTGCTATGGTCACTTGAAAATTTTGTGTTTGCGTTATTCTTAAGAACCATTTGAAACTGATAAGTTCAGGATGGTTAAAAGAAAGTCCACCAGAGGACCTCATTTTGTGATTTTAGAAGAAGATCCTAACTGTATTAGGTAACCTACAAAGTGGATAAGAATCCCACCTTAAGAAGAAAATTTGCACCAGCCACTAGGCAATCCATTTCATCTTCCTTGTCAAGGATAATTCCAAGCTTTTCTTTGAAGAGATTAGCAAACTTGTATGCCCCACCACCTGTGGCCTTCTCACACATGGTAACTTGTTAATCATTTCAAGCTTTAGAAATAAAAACTATATAAATATCTTCTTCAATGAAGAAAATAATTTCCTAAGATGAACTATCAAATTCTTAACATTCATAGGCATGGTCCATTTCCAGAATTCTTTCACAGGTTCCGGCTCCCCAAAAACTCAAGAAAAAATAATAACAAAGGAACTTGAATACTTGAAGACAAGTAAATCTCTTTTGTAAAGCTTCAAAATCAATTGTTTAGCATAACATATAACCTGGAAAACACAACTACAGAAACTCTAAAGTGGAGTGGAACTTGAAGTTAATTGTTGGAGGCAGTGACAGTATTTGAATCTATAAGAAACCTAAACATTTTTCTGGAAGAAACTAATTTGACACAGAAACATAAACATTACTCATCAGGAAAATAACTTCTCTAACAACAGGGAGAATTTAGTAACAGGAATTATTCATAAATCAATAGTTTCTAAGTGCACAAATTGATTTACCTTAACAAAGACCTTTTCCTCTGGAAGAACATCATTAGCACGACCACCTGCTATTCATAGTAATTCATAAATAAATCAATGGAAACACAACAATAGTTATTGGATTCAGTATGCCCAGGAAAAAGAGAACCCTAATGCTCAATAAAGGGACACCTGACCATAAACTTGCAACCTGCCTGAGACCGAAAAATATGATTGAAGCTGAAATATATAAATTTTTATATTGGAATTTCTAAAACAAATCACCCCAGGACAGCTACCTATTTTAATTTCTTGATAAAGCAAGAGGCATTCAGTTTCTTATCATTGCTTCTACCTTCATAAGTTGAGATCTGAATGCAGACATATGGTCATGAACAAGATGTGGCTCAGACAGATCTATAAGAAGCTATTCACTAATCTAAGAACATAATTTGAGCATTCTTCCCAGGGTGGAAAAAATAACTGATTAAGTTTGAATATTACTAGGCTCATGAAGATTAGGTTAATAATAAGCTGAGATAGCATTAAGCATAATGAATTCTTATTTTGCCAAGATATGGAAGATCGTATAAAATTTCAATTACCATCTTAAATTTAAATGATGCACTATGCTGACTAACCAGAGGGCTTAGTTCATCACCTAAGTTGTTCACATCCTAAACTAGATACAAAGACACTGCCTTCTATAAGAAAACACTTAAGTCTTTAGTATGGTTGAAATGTTCCACCAGTTTAGTTATCGCTACAAAATTACCATTTGAAGGTGCACTTATCATGACAAAAGGGATGTACATACATGCTAACCATTATGGTGACATTTATTGGAGTTAATGAACTCTAAGAAATCATTTATTTTGCTGGTTAGTCTTTATTATGGTTGAAATGTTCCACAGATTTAGTTATCGCTATAAAATTACCATTTGAAGGTGCACTTATCATGACAAAAGGGATGCACATATATGCTTACCATTAAGGTGAAGTTTATTGGAGTTAATGAACTCTAAGAAATCATTTATTTTGCTGGTTTCAAACATTGCAAAATGGAGCCTCCCTTTTATGGCAGAATCATTGTCAATAACATCCAAAGTGGCAAGGCTGTCATTTGGCGAGTCAACAGTACTATCAGCACTTCTTCTGAAATGCACCAACTTTATTAGTGAACCTGCCAATAGACATACATCAATGCAATATCCAGATCAAGAAAATCTCTGTTATCATCACTACTACTGCTAGAATTTACTATTATTCCTGTGATAATCCAATACCACATTGAAAATGTACATGATTGTTAATTTCCATGTAAGATCATCTGCAAGTTTGAACTTTTAAAAGAATTCCCTGACTCCAAAAGTTGTTTGGGCTAGTGTTGCATGGTCCGGAAATTCCAAATGGTATTAGAGTACGTGTTACCCACAAATTGAGTGGTAGAGATTGCCATAGAGATTGTGATAATCCAATCCAGTTAAAAAATGTATGTGATTGGTTGTTGAGGGTTTAACTAATAGAACTACCAACAAATTGAGTTTATGCTTTTGAGGGAAAATGATTTGGGTAGGAAAATTCTTGTGGTACTGGTAGCAGCGATTGGTCGTCGGAGTTAAATTCCCAATAGCTTGAACTAGTGAACTAAATTTTATAGTTTCGCAAAGTTAAAATAAAAGAATTCTATGAACTTACTCTGTTTCACTTCCAAGAGAGAGAAAAAAAAAAGCTACAGATTCAGAGTAGAAAAAAAACAGATCAACAAAAAAAACAGAGTGTAAAGCACGCAACGAGACGAGCTATTCGAAATTGACAACAAATGGAGAAAATGATTCGAGCTAATTACGAATAACAATATGCAGGAACAATCCCATAAAATCCGTAGCAACAAATAGATAACGAAGAAAGTTAGCACCCCAAAAAAAGAAAAGCGAAGTAAATACAATCGAGCATGAAGTACCTCCAATGTCGATAGCCAAACGAGAATCGGATTGGTTTTGGTGAGAATTTTCTTGGGATTGAACCTCTCTTGGATCCATCTGTTGGATCAATTTGGAGGGCTTGACAGGTAATTGAAAAAATCGATTATGGGGTTAGGAATTTGTTGTTTCAACATGCAACTGCTATGCATCGGCACCTACCTACCTCCATCGCACCTAACCAGCGCCAGCAACCAAAATAACAAATTAATCATAGTTTATGCATCTGCAACATTCTTATTTTAAATCACTGCAAAAAATTAAATGAAATTAACAAGCAGTGCTGTTAATGTTATTGTAGCATTGCTGCGGAAAGTGTTGTTTTCTATTGTTCTGGTTCCTATTTGACTTTCGCTCTAAACTTCGAACGAGCTTCCTCGTTACCCACGTGCCAATTTTTTTTTTTTTTTTTTTTTTTTAAAAAAGCTATAATATATATATTCTTTTTCTGAGGTAGGATGTAATGATAACTTAACACGAAATCATCTTATTAATTAAATCTCTTACTTTCAGATTAACTCATGATTTTATATATGAATATTTAATTAAACATATTATTATTTATTAAAATAAATTTTCAATTTTTTTTTTTAATTTTACAATGCTAGTATACTTTAATTTTAGAAAACATATCATCTTAATAATATAATTTAATTTTAAATATATTTTATTTTTAAGTTAATTTTATTTGTCATTATTCAAACCACAAAACCATCTTATTGTACATATACTTTAACTTAAATTATTAAATTATATTAAAATATTTCTAAAACTTATAATCTATAATTTATATACTAAACTATTGTATATTAAGAAAATGAGGTTAAATATTAAATTTTATTCATTTTGATAAACTTAAAATGATAATTTTATATAGAAATTTTAAATTTTATAAATTTATAAATAAATTTTACTGAATTTTTAATTTTTAGAGTTATTTTCTATTAAGAAAATATGCTTTTAACATTTTCCTTCTTAAAAAGAGTAAGCCAATGGACCCATAGATACAGGGATCCAAGTCTTCTCGTCATTGTGGCATACGACGACGTATCACGTTTTCTAAAGCTGACGGTAGCATACGTCATATATGCATATATAAATATATATCTTTTTTATAACCTCAAATGCTTGAAATGGAATTTTCCAAAGTGAGCGCCTTTAATTTTTAATTACACTAAATTTTCAGATATCATTTATCGAAATTCATAGTATACTTCCTATTTTTCTGAAGTCAATTTCTTCGTCATCATATTCATCCAAATCCAACGCCGGCTCCGGCCCTTTTATCACCAATAAGATTTAACCTTGTCGTTGACTCAAGGTTTTTCTGAAAAAAGAAATTAAGAGATAAATCATGTTCTTTTCGCCATAAATGTTCTTCTGCACCGTATTATAATATTGCATCAACGGAGAAAGCGAAGAATAAGTGGGTGAATTAAATATACAGAATCTGCAAATTCTTGACTTGCGTCCTCTACCATTTTTCATCAGGAACTAGAGCCCAGAGAAGAACGAAATGGCCGAGCCTGATGCTAATGGTGTCGCTTATGATCTCCATGCCCTTCTCTCTTCTGAGGACAGAGACTTTCTCATCCGCAACAATGGTGATCAGGTATATACGTCTGTTTATTTCTAATACTATCTATTCAAGCTCTTGTCTCTTTATATATATGTGTGTGTGTGTGTGTGTGTGTGTATATCTATATGCATGCAGCTTTTTAGCTCTCAACTTCAATTTTTTCTGCTAAAATATTTTGGGTTTTCTTCCCTGCTCTTTAATATTTTTGTTTGAGTCTTCATACCCGGTTTGAATTTCTGGTCATTAGTGGGATTTGTTGTGTTACCATGATATTCACAGGTTAAAATAAATTATTTGAGTGGAAAGCTTGTGGGTTTATATTTTTCTGGCTCATGGTGCGGTCCTTGTCGCATGTTTACCCCAAAACTAGTACAAGTCTACCAAGAGCTCTCATCAAAAGCCGACTTTGAAGTTGTTTTCATTTCAACTGATAGAGATGACGAATCCTTTGATGGTTACTTTTCCAAGATGCCATGGCCTGCTATTCCATTTTCTGATTTAGCTATCAGAAAACACCTCAGGGAATTATTCAAAGTCAGAGGGATACCTCATCTTGTTATCCTTGATGTCAACGGAAAGGTTTTAAACGATAAAGGGGATAGATTAGTTAAGGATTATGGAGTTGATGCCTATCCCTTTACGCCAGAGAGGATCAACTTTTTGAAGGAGCAAGAAGAGGAAGCTAAAAGGAATCAATCCCTGAGCTCTCTCTTGGTTTCGACCCCTGCTGATTACTTAATTTCTAATGATGCAAATAAGGTTAGTAATTTGATTTTGCAGGCACTGGTTTCAAATTTTATAAGATGATTAATGCAGTTCATGTTACTGGTGTATGTTTATTTGCAGGTTCTTGTGTCTGATCTTGAAGGAAAAAATGGGTGGGCTTGTATTTTGTTTACTCATTCTCATAGGCCATATCAAGAGTTTCACTGCAAAACTTGTGGAAATTTACAAGAAGCTCAAAGAGAAGGGAGAGAACTTTGAGATTGTGTTTATATCTTTAGACAATGAGGAGGAGTCCTTCAAGAGAGGATTGGAAACAATGCCATGGTTGGCTTTACCATTTTCAGACAGACGATGTCAGAGGCTTATTAATTACTTTGAGCTTGAGGGCTTGCCTACACTGACAATCTTAGGGCTTGATGGGAAGACTTTGAACCCCAATGTTGCTGATCTTATTGAAGATCATGGTATCGAAGCATACCCTTTTACGCCAGAAAAGGTTATTGAACTTGCTGAGATTGAAAAGGCAAAACAGGAAGCACAGACTCTGGAATCAATCTTGGTTTTGGGGGAAAAAGATTTCGTAATTGAGAAAAATGGTTCTCAGGTAATAATTTTGCTGTACTTCTATAACTTTTATTTTTACTAACTTATAAATGATATCCTAATTTCACCTATCCGTAGGTAGATAGGTAATGTATAAGACTGATATATAAATGTTTCAACCAATCCCTAAATAGATGAGTAATTTGTTGATTAATATGTAAGCATTATGCATATGTATCTTAGTTCTTAATGATTATACATATTAAAAAAACAGAAGAAACAGAGACTAATCTCTATGTGGAATGTCTTGTGTTAGGTTCCAGTTTCTGAACTAGTTGGAAAGACAATTCTTCTCTATTTCTCAGCTCACTGGTGCCCCCCATGTCGTGCATTTTTACCCAAGCTTATCAAATTATATGATGAGATTAAGGCAAAAGACAATGCATTTGAGGTTATATTCATCTCAAGTGACCGTGACCAAGCATCTTTTAATGCATTCTTTGCAAGCATGCCCTGGTTAGCCCTCCCCTTTGGCGATGAGAGGAAAGCATTCCTGCAAAGGAAATTCAAAATCAGAAGCATTCCTGCTGTCATCGCCATTGGTTCTACAGGCAGAACAGTCACTAAAGAAGCTCGGCAGTTGATAACAGTTCATGGAGCCGATGCTTATCCATTCACCGAAGAGCATTTGAAGCAATTGGAGGAAAAACTTGATGAAAAAGCGAAGGGGTGGCCTGAGAAAATGAAGAATGAGGTGCATGTAGAGCATGAACTTGAGCGCATCAAACGCAATGGATATAGATGTGATGGGTGCCAGGACATAGGACATGGCTGGTCTTATTCTTGCAAGAGATGTAACTTTGATCTTCACCCAAAATGTGCTTTGAAGGAAGGTGAAGGGAAAGATAAAGCTGCTGAAGGAAAAGAAGGTTGGACCTGTGATGGAGACATATGCCGCAAAGCTTGAATAACTAGCTGATCAAAGGGTATATGGTCTTGTAATGCATGTATTTGAAGTCTTTGAAGAGTATTGTTTATGGAAAGTAATAGAAGTAATAATAGACTTATGTCTTTTTAATTTTTGAACAAATTTCCAATTTGATCAACTTATTAAGGGAGGAAGGATTGTTTAGCCAACCAATTGGAAAACGATTTAAAAATGTAAAATTTCTATGGGAAAGGAATAGAAACAGAGAAAAAAAAAAGAAAAGAAATACGGAAAATGATTCTTATGAGAGTTTTTTCTTTTCTTCATTTATGTTATTATAATTTATGTAGATTAAATCAAATAAATAATTTTTTAGAAAATAAAAGCTGAGCTAAGGATTAATTTTTTTTGTCAAATTTTTACAGTTGTATAAAAAAAATTGTAAATTAAAATTATTTATAAGTTTAAAGATTAAATTATAATAAAAATTTTAAAAACAAAAATGATATTTATCTAAAATTTTATTAAACAAATATTTTTAGTGATATGATACTAAACTTTAGTAATTATTTTGATATATTATTAATTGATGTTATGTTTACATCATCTTTATTCATTTATTTAATGAAGTAATATAATGTTGTTGCGTAATTATTTTATTATTATATTCTTAATGTAAAATTACTTTTTAAAAAATATAATAAATTAACTATATGAATTAAGAGCGAAGTTAACTAGAAGTATACTATAAATAAATGTTAAAATTTTATTATATATTTAAAAGTTGTTAGTCATATATTAATTACTATTTAAATTTA